CCACAATGCCCCGCCCCGGCCCGCCCCCTGCGCCGCTGCCTCCACGCCGGCCGCCAGCTCCGCTTGGCAGTAGGGGGCGCTGATGCGCCGGCAAAAACACGGCAAAACAGAAGCCGAAAACCCGGCGCGAAGGCCGTAGGGTAGAAAGGAAAGAAAAAAAATTTAAGACTTGGCAGCGGTGGGATTCGAACCCACGCCCCCGAAGAGACTGGAGCCTTAATCCAGCGCCTTAGACCGCTCGGCCACGCTACCAACATGTAGCGACTCTTTTTCGGGGAGCTCCCTAATACCTTTAAAAGCAATTACGGTGCCATACTTCAATATGTATTCATTCCATCGGCTCGTGATAAAAATATTTACAGTTTGCCGTGTAGTTAAAAGACTTGTTCCGATATTTAAACCCAGACTTGTTCCAAATAGGTTTTAGAGCGAAGAAAAAAGGTCGAAGAATCTGTATTCGGAGTCCGGCGTTTAACCAGACCACCTTCGGTTAACCTACCGACTCGGGTTAGGAATCTCAGGAACAAATGACGGACTCCGGCAGTCACCCGCCCAGGGGCTCCGAAGGCCTGTCCGAGGGAGCTGGCCTCGGCGCAAAACGACTCGGGAATTCTTGCAGAATGTTAAAACCTTTGACCCCCAACCTAAGGCCCTGCGCACATATAACCGTTATTATCAGCTTGGTATACATCCTTTTGTATTTTCTGCTGTGAATTTATATGGATAGATTCATAGATATATGTATCCGTACAAAATAGATGTTTAGTTTTCGAGTATGGGTTTTTACATAAGTTTTATCATACTATTAATATTGATCTATAATTGACTTTTTCCACCCAACTGTATTTTTAAAATATCTATCTATGTTGATGTATGTAGGTATTTAAAATGATAGAAAAACTACAAAGACTAAATAATCACCCACATTCCCACCACTTGATATTGTGGCACTTAACTTTCAACTCTTTTGCTATGTGTATACTTTTTATTAAACATTACACAGAGAATGGTATACATTGTCCTTTTAAAAATCCACTGCACGGGAGACCACCTAGAAAGACCAGGTGCTGTAGGTGTAAAAAATTAAAAAACAAGAGATTGTAAACTGACAAGGTCCTTGCAATCTGTGAGGTCAACCAAGGGTTGCCTCGCCTATAAATAAATAAATAAATTTAAAATCCATTACAGCTATATTAGACCATTATATTAACCGAATAAAAATTATATTAGACATTAGACCAAATAAAAATAAAGCCCCCTTCCCAAACATCTCCCTCGCCCCTCAGCCCTGGTTCTAACTATTGTCCTGAATTTGACGTGCATCCTTCCACTCCATTTCTTCTACTTCCATGTCTATACAAACGTGTGTGTGTGTGTGTGTGTGTGTGTGTGTGTGTACATGTACCCACGAACAATGCATAGTATGGTCTTCTACCTGTTTTTCACTTACATAAACATCACTACCATGCACCAGTAAAATTCTGCAACCTGTTTTCCTCCACCGACTGTATGTTCTGGGGGGGTCTATTATGAAACATAGATCTAATTTATTCTACGTTATAGAATAATCTGGTGTTATTTCTCCATTTACTTGTAACATGTTGATATGCCAAGATTTCATTGTACTGGGAGAGTTTGTTGCGTTTAAAGGCATTTTTTTAAAAATACAGAAGCAGACATCCTCTGGGGATACAGGTCGGGCACTGAAGGGGCTTTAAAGCTAAATGAGGAATTGTCCTTGAGGTCAGCAGAAGCTCTGATCTGCTCACCGCGCTTTCGCAACAGCAAGGACTGCGCTTGTGAGTTGTGCGCTGGGCTAATTGCGAGAGTCTGCCTCATCCCACTTTTCCAAGAATTGCCCGACCAGCCCTGAGAGTGGGCCCTGACAGCCACCTTTGGACTGTGCATCCCGGGAGACAGAGAACTCAGCGTGGACCAACCGGATTCTCTCTTAAGAATCTGAAGAACTAAGACCGGATAAGATCCTGATCTGTTCATCTGATGTGTTCAGTGCTGCGGTTAGTCTCTGAGGCTGACTGCAGTGAGGGGCAAAGGGAGACTGGGGTGGGGGTGGGGCATAGTCTGTGCGGTGGACTGGAGCAGGAGAGAAAGCCAGAGCATGGGAAACAAAAGAATGATAAAATGAAAAGAAGAGCAGAGTCAGAGAGAAATCTGGTTTTCTGGCTTCCAGCTCAGGACTCTTCCCAGGGCCCAGTGGGTTGCATAGCCTTGGAGACATCCCTTCATCGCTGTAACGAATCCCCTTTTCTGCTTTTAAAGCAAACGCTACCTGGTCGTAAACAATAAACCCCACCACCAATAACGACAACCTTTGCATGGTAAGGAATCAAATGACACTTGAGATACTTCCGCCAGGACTTTCTGGAGCAGTTCGGGTGTGTCCGAATGGGACCCTTCAAGGCAGTTTCTTGCAGTCTTGCAGCCCCATTACACAGCTGTCTGGTGACAGTCAGATGCGAAGCTAATGAGAAGTAGAATGTCGCATGGGAACTTCTGGACCCACAGGGTCCCAGCCGCTTCAGCCGTAGGGGGGAGGAGAGGGCTGAAACCCTGACTATCCCTGGGTGTGTCTGCTTCTCTGGCCCTGGCTAATGGGG